CACACACACACGCAGCACTTGTATTTGTATCGTCATGCCTCCCCGTGGGTGGGCTTCATATAAGATTTTCACGAATCATCGTTGGAACGTCTGGCAAGGTCGGCATTGGCTTCGAGATCCCTGCCTTCGTCCCAGATCCACGTCTTGACCGTTCCATCGTCGCCGCAGGATGCCAGTAGGCTCTGCGCCTTGTTCCACACCGCGCCGTAAGCCACATTGTTGTTGGTCGAGAGCGAAGTGAGGTCCGACACCACCGATGTTGCTGTAGCCGCACCACTGGCAGTATGTCCACCCAGCCCCGCACGTGCAGGTGCATGGAGCGTATCGCGTCCATGTCCCTCGAGCGTCTGCAGCACCTCGGAACTCTCCTGATCCCACATGTAGATCAAGCCGTCCTCGGATCCACCGACGAGCAACGAGGTATGCGCGAAGCTAGACCGGATAAAGTTCTTGCTGGTATTCTGGTGGCCCTTGAACCTCTTCAACGGCCTCAGCATGCGCAGATCCCACAGCCGGTTCGAGTTATCCTTGGACGAACTGAGCAGAAGCGAGCCGGTTTCGTTGATCTCCACCGACGTCACCTCGCCCAGATGCCCCGTGATGGTGCGAATGCACAGCCCCGACACCACATCCCAGAACCGGATCGTCGTATCCTTGGACGCGGTAACAATCAGGTTGCCAAGCGGATTGAAGATCGCCGAAGACACGCCGAGCTGGTGGCCGGTAAACGTCTTGACGATCGAGCCGGTCTCGACGTCGTACATGCGCACGAGCTTGTCGTAGCCCGCCGAAACAATGTGGCGCTCGTCGGGATGGAAGCGACAGCTGTACACATCGCCCACGCCTGCACGCAGCGTCGTACGGCACTGACCACTCTCTACATCCCACACCTTGACCGTCGAATCGCCCGATGCCGACGCAACGTGGCCGCCTGTGCGTGTAGAGTCGACATCCCACACGCGACTACGATGCCCCTGCAACACGCCCTCGCACCGCCCCGTGTTGGCATTCCACAGCCGCACCGTATTGTCGCTACTGCCACTGACGATCTTGCGCCCTTCTTCGCCGACGAAGCGCACGCTCTTGACGTTCTTGCGGTGGCCGCGCATGGTGTGCGCCACAGCATTGGGCACGATGAAGCCAGTATAGTCGTGCAGCAAGCCCGAGATGACAGGCGCCTTCTTGGGGTGGTAGCGCGCAAACTCGACTTGGTACGCCACGGCCTGATGGAGCATGGTGAGCAGGCGATGTGGCGGCACATAAGTGTAGCCGCTAGTCGAGGCCTTGGACCCACTAGGGGCGGCACTTCCGTCGGCGAGCATGGCATCGTCGAGCAGGTCGGATGTCTCGCTGCCGGCACGGACGGCGTTAGCAGCCGAAACGCCGCCACCCGCGGAGCCCGAGCCGGGAAGCCCGGCCTCCTTTTCGAGCCAGTCCTGCTCGAGCATGGCTGCGAACTCCATGACGAGCTTCTCCCTGGCGGGCTGGATGCCCTCCCAGGCAGCAAACGACGGTGCGTCGGTGACGGCCTTGGCGGAGAGGAGGTAGCAGAGATCTCGAAACTCGGACGGATGCGGCTGGTAGTGTTCGAGCGGCTTGAGGCGCTTGTTGAGGAAGGTGAAGCCCTTTTGGAACTCGCGGTGCTCGATGTGTTCCAGAAACTGCTGCTTGTACACGGCGTACAGAAACGCCTTGTGATTCTTGACGAGCGGTTTCTGCAGCAGCTTGTCCACCTCGGGCCAGTCGCCTTCGAGGATGTGGCCGCGCAGCTTGCGTGCGTCCAGGCCAGCTTCCTCGCGCTCGCGCCGCTTGATGCCCGCCTCTTCCATGAGCAGCTGGCGTGTGGCGCCGAAGCCCTCGTCGGCGAGCCACTGGTCGATCATGCGGATGATGTCGTTGCGCACGTGCGGGTCGTCCGGACGCAGGATGGCGGTGCGCGACGAGGCGTATGTGGCGTGGTTGGTATCGCGCGATGCGCTCGTGCTCGTGCTCGTGCTCGTGCTGGCGGTGTGCGCGGTGAGCTGACCGACCGTCTGGCCGAGGATCGACGAGTTCTGGTAGTGAGGGTGGTAGCTATAAGGCGGTGGACGCAGGCCATGCAGCTGCAGATCGGCGACGGTGTGGTCCTTGGCGTCGGCGAGCAGCACCTGCTTGCGCCGCTTCCACGTCTCCTTGGTTCCGCCCGAGGCGGAGGCGGCAGCGGTGGAAGCGTTGGCAGTTGCGGTTGCGGTGCCGTTGGTGGCTGCGCCTGACGCGGCGGCGGAGAGTAGGGCGGAGATGCCGAGTCCGTCGCCGCCTCCGAGATCCGGCTGCGCGCTGACGGATCGATCGAGGGCCAGATGACCGGCGGCGATGGCAGGGTCTGCGGTGGCACCGATGGTGTTGGTGCGGAACATGGCACTTGCCGCGGTAGGTGATGTGGGTGCGGTGAATGAGCCGGTCGGCGTGGCCTGATGATGAGTGGCATTCGAAGAGCCTGGCTCTGGCAGCCGGAAGGCAGATGCACGTGGTGTGAGCGGAGCGGGCGAGGGCAGCGCCGGCTCCGACGAGGGATATGAGGATGGCCGCGACGAGCTCGAGTCGTGAGCAGCAGTGATTGTGATCTGCGTGGGCGGGTGCAGAGGCATGGCAGTGGCAGCACGCCCAGTGCCGTTCTGGTCTGCGTCTGTTGCAGCGTCGTCTGGTGGCGGCATCGTGTGCGTAGGCCGAGCGGTATAGGGCAAGGCGGGTAGGCAAGGTGATGGAGGACGGACGATGCTTCCTCCCAACTCCACTTTGTCGGTGCTGCCAAGCGAGCGGACCCTGTGGCGCGGCGATGCTTTGGCTCTCCTTGGCGACTGGCCGGAAATGTCAAAAAAAGCGAGGCCGAAATTGATGCCCAAAAATCGGACCCAAAAATGCCAACGTGGATGTCTCATCCGCGCGAGAAGAAGGCGGCGTAAGGAAGCAGCTCCGCACGGACGCGCTGCAGGAAGACAGCGTCGAAGGTGCCGGCGAGCAGCAGCTGCTCCTTCCCAACCGGCAACCATCTCCCACCCTTGCACCTCTCGGACAAGCAGAAATCGTCGAGATGAGAGTCGGATCACGCCCAAGCATGGCGAGTGTGGCCAAGCTGGGTCTCCTGGCGCTCTTGTGCACGCTCGCCTGGATCCAGCTTCCCACCGCCCTGGCGCAGCGCTTCGCCAACAAGGACCAGACGAGCCTCTACAACCGCATCCAATCGTCCAGCCAGGGCTTTGTCGACGTCGATGCCAAGGAGTTCGCCTCTATCGTCGGGCTTCCGCGCGACTTTGCCGTTTCGGCGCTCCTCACCACCACCAACGGCGGCATCAAGTGTCCGCCGTGCGTGGCGTTCCAGCCCGAGTTTGAAAAGGTGGCGCAGCAGTGGAACCGCGACAAGGCGGTCAAGTCCAAGCACGTCTTTGTCAAGGTCGAGTTTTCGAGGGCGCAGCAGGTGTTTGCGCAGTTCCAGCTCCAGCATGCGCCCGTGCTCTACACCTTCCCCGCGCCCTCCAACACCAACGCCGTGCCGGACCACGTGTCGTTTGACTTCAACGAGCGCGGCTTTGCAGCCAAGGACGTGGCGGATCACATCAACTCGCTCATGAACACCAAGTTCAAGTTCAAGCAGCCCGTCAACACCAAACTCGTCACGGCGTCCATCACGGGCGTGATTACGCTGGTGGGAGCGATCTTCTTCCTGGCGCCGTACGTGCCGGTGCTGTTCAAGTCGTCCAAGCCCATCTGGATGCTGCTCTGCCTTGGCTCCATGATCCTCTTTACGTCCGGTCACATGTGGAACTCGATCCGCGGCGCACCCTACGTCGCCATGGGCCAGGGAGGCAAGCCCGAGTACTTTGCTGCTGGATTTCAGTCGCAGTACGGCGTCGAGACGCAGATCGTGGCGGCCATCTACGCGCTCCTTGCATTCAGCTTTATTGCGCTCACCGTGCTCGTGCCTGCCCAGAGGGATCCCACAAGGCAGCGCGCAGGCGTGTATGTGTGGAGCGCCATCTTCCTCGCCACCTTCAGCCTGCTCTTCTACATCTTCCGCACCAAAAACCCCAGCTACCCCTTCCGCCTCTTCTTTTAACACAGCGATTGTACCGATAGAGAGGTTGGGAACGAACGATTCCTCGTCCGCATCAGACCATGGCAACAATGTGTGGATCGGTGACATTGAGAGCAAAACGGAAGCAAGGGACATTGAAAATGAATCTATCCGAGAGTGGAGGATGGGGAATTCTACCTGCCAAACACCTTCTTCTCGAGCATGCGCAGCGGCACATACAGCACGATGCTTGCCGCCAGACCGGTCTCGAATCCGAGATCGCCCGCGCGCTTTGCAATCGGACCATGGAACCACACCTGGTCGATGCTGGGCACCACCACTGCCAGCGAGATGGCACATGCACCCAGAGCCGCCAATCCAGGCGGAAGCTTGTTCCACTGATTCCAGTGTTTGACGTCGTACGACGCATAGTCCCTCCTCCTTACCAGCACGTGGTCCGCAAACACGACGCCCACATACAAGCTCGCCCAGTACCCGAGCACGCTCGTAAAGTCGGTGAGCGTTTCGTAGAACTTGTCGTGCCCCACGATGGCGAGCGGCAAAAAGATGGCCGTTGCCAGGAGCGGCCATACGAATCGCGGCACGGGTCCGAGAAAGGGCAGCATGGTCTGGAAGTTGAGTCCGATGCTGTAGATGGTTGCCGAGATGTTGCCGCACACGGACAGCGCAAGCAGCACCACGAGGAAGCGACCAAAGTTGCCCAGATTGCCCGCAAGGATGAGCTGGAAGAATCGACCCGACGACACACCGAGTGCGGTGGACCACTCGTCATTGTCGTACGAAGAGCACGCAAAGGCCGCACCGATCATGATGAACGGCACGCACGACAGGAAGAAGCCGCAGTAGACCGACCAGAAGAGCTTGTGCGGCGAAACATCCGGTCGGAGGTAGTGCGAAACGTCCGAGACGAGTGCCGAGTAAGAGATGACAAACCCTGCAATGATGGCTGCAAAGCCGAGGATCGACTGTGCCGTCGCCTTGGGCTCGTTGCTCGCCACATGCAGCGCATTGGGTCCCGTACCCGCTTCGCCGATGAGGATCATGAAGCAGATGAGCGTGGGCAGCCAGAAGAAGCGTTCGAACATGTGCAGCACGCGGATGCCGCTGAACGACACCACGAGCGCAATGGCCGCCGCCACCACAATCCCCACATCCGGTGTGAGGGTCGATGTCCCATCCGCACGCGACGAAACCGCCGACAAGGTCTGCCCACCCACGATCGAGTTGAGGATGCAATACCCAAGCATGGTCGCGGCATTGAGCACGCAGATGATGCTCGCACCAAAGTAGCCAAACGAGTATCGGCACTGGATCATCTGACGCATGCCGAGTTTGGGGCCAAAGAGCGAAAAGTAGGCGGGGAAGAAGGAGCAGAACGCGCCGACGAAGAGCGTGGTGAGCATGGCGGAGCGCATGTCCATTTCAAGCAGCTTGACGAGCGTGCCTGCGGAGAAGGAGAGCACATTGACGTTGCTCGAGAACCACACCAGACTCGGGCTCCACCAGTCGGTGCCCGTGCGTTCCGAGAGCGCAAGTGGCCGAATGCCAACCGACTCCACATAGAACCGGTTGAGCTTTTGCGCCACCACGTCGAGCCGACGCAGCAGCACATGGCGCTCGATGGTGCGCTTGTAGTCGCTCAGGATGGACTCGGACGTCGAGTCGTCCTTGAAGTCGATTGCCGGCGTGGGCTGCTCCACGTCCGTCTTTGGAATCGAAGCCATGACGGCGAGAGTGCGCTACCAATACGACACGTCTACGTCGTGTGAAGAGTTGGCAAGGGGGAAGAGGAGACGACGGTGGTGGCGAGACGACTTGGCCGGTGGCGAGAAAGCAAGAAGAAATCTCTTGCTGCCAAATGTGCGGTAGGAGATGGGCGACACCGGAAAGGTCCGATTTCAAAATTCAGGGTCTGGCGCTGCGTCTCTGCGTTTTTTTGGTCTGACTCGAAGGCGACCGCTCCGCGCGTGGAAGGAACGTGGGGCGGCAACGGCGTTCGAGTCAGGGCTTGTGCCACTCGCCGATATCGATCCACGCTCTCACGCCGGCGGCACTCGTCGGCCGCCGCCAAACCCGAGTGCGCACTTGGACCGCCTCGGACCGCCTTTTGCCGCCGAGCACAGTGCAGGCACAACCACATCTCGGCTTCTGTTTGGCGTGTCCACCTGTCTCGGGCCGAACCAAGCCCCCATCGGCAAAAAACGCGGAGATTCCACTCATGCAAGCCCATCGATCCGCTCTTTCTTGCGCACAAGCCACGTTGCAAACGGCCAAGCATGTCGGCTGGTATTGCGTCTCAGCTTGTCTACTGGAGCTTGTGCATCCTGCTCGACACATCCTCAATCCTCTGCTGCAGCGCGGCGAGGTTGGCCTCGATCGTGTGGCTGTTCTGTTGCATGTTGGCCTCCATCTTGTGCAGCAGCTCGTCGAGCTCGTTCTGCTGAGCCTGCCTTGCCTCCCTGCCCTGCTCGAGCGCGTCGAGCACGCTGCCAAAGTGTGCCGACGACGCATGCAGGTCCGCCAGCGTCTGCAGTCGCTCGAGCACCGACGGCACGAGCGGGAGCAGCGGCTCGATGCGCGTCGACACCTCAAACACCTGCTGCAACTTTGTCATTTCGGCCGGCGTGAGCGTTGCAGCCGTCTTGGACGCCCCTTCCCCACCTGCTGCTTCGGCGCCATTGTCGGTGAGTTTGCGACGCATGTCGTTGGCGCGGTCCATCTCGGTGACGAGCACCTTGACGCGGCGGCTGATGGCGTCCAGATGGCGCGGTTGCGAGAGCAGCGAGAGCTGGTGCTCGAGCCGAGACAGCGTCGATAGCACCGGACGCGGAACCGGCTTGGACTCGTCCAGCAGCGCCTCGTGCACGCCCAGCGTCGACTCGAGCTCGCTCAGCCGTGCTTCTAGCTGCACCACCTCCGCACTGCGCGTCTCGGCCGTCGTCTTGGTCGGCGCAGTGCCTGCAGCCGGTGTTGCACCGGCATCGGTAGCGGATGCGGCCGAGGGCGCCTGCTTGATCTGGTCCAGCAGCGCACGGAACGTCTGCTGGTCAGCATCGCGCGATGAAGCTGCAGCACCGACTGGGTCGGAAGGCGAGGGTAGTCGGGCCAGCTGGTCGTGCAGCAGCTTGAGCTGGTTGAGCATCTGTGTGCTGTCCACCTCCACCGAGCCATTGGCAGTGTCAGCGCCCGCAGCGCCACTGCCCTCGGCTTTAAGCTCCTCCTCCAACTGGCTGGCCTCGAACCTGAGCCTTCGCAGACGATCCACCACGGACTCCTGCGCTCGTTCACCAGCTGGACGCGCATCATCCAGCGCATACGTCGCCGTCTCGACCCCTGCATCGATGGGCCGGGCCGCCCTGTTCTTTCGTGCGCTTCGGTGGCGCAATCGACCCGAAAAATCGACTGCGTCCGCGTCCAGGTCGGTGGCGCCGGTGAATTTGGACGCTGCATCCGAGCGCTTCAACGAGGAGCTGTCGATGTCTTCGCTGTTCACCGCTCCCTTGGCGTCGCCCGCGTGCTTGCGGTGGCCTGCGCTGTGTTCCGAGTCGTCGCTGGACGAGTCCGAATCGGCTGCGTCCGCACCGCCCTGTGCACGGTGCTTGCGCGATCGATGACGACGACTTTGCGATGCATCGTCGGTGCGGCTCGGACCCTCGTATTCGTACACGTCGGGCGCCGAGGTGTCGACGTCCGGCAGGCTGGCGTACTTGGTGTAGCTCGTCGAGGACGACGATGCGCCCGCTTGCTGCGACATGGTGCGCTACTGTGTGAGGCGTGCGGGATGAGGCGTGCGGGATGAGGCGTGCGCGATGAGGTCGTGGAGTGGATGATGGATCGAGATGCGGGCACGCGCAAGTGGGGGGGTATGCGTGGCACGCGCGCGGACCACACCAACACCTCAAACTGTGACTTTTGCTCTTTCTCGCCTCATTTCAAGTCGCGTCGCAAATTCACGCACAACGCTGCAACGCTGCGCTCAAGTGGGAAAATCTAGCATTGCAATCCTGGTAGCAGGCAAAGAGGTTTCAGCATGGCATCCGCATCCTATCTCTTTTCCTAGGAGTGAGGAGTGAGGATGGAGACGAATCTACTGCTGAGCGTGGTTGGCAAAGGTGCGGTCCATGGCCTGCTTGATCTCGGCGTACACCTCGTCGACGGGCTTGATCGAGTCCACCTCCACCACGCGGTCCTGCTTGCGGTAGTAGTCGACGACGGGCATCGACGTCTCGACAAAAGTCTCTGCAGGGTGGGCAAATCATCGTGTTTTTCAAATTGTCAGCGATGGAAGTCGTGACTGCGGCTGGTTGTGAAGGCTGAAGACGGGCAACTTACGGAAACGCTTCTTGATCGACTCGATGTTGTCGTCGGTGCGGCCGCTGGTCTTCCCGCGCTCGAGCAGTCGGCTCAGCATCACCTCCTCGGAGCACTGCAGGAAGAGCACAAACTGCGACGGGCACACCGATTCGTCAAACTTGATCGCCTGGTCCATCTTGCGCGGGAAGCCGTCGACGAGGAAGCGGCCCTTGCCTTCGCCGCCCTGCTTGGCGAGCGCGTCGGCGATGGCGTTGGAGAGCAGCGCCACGGTGACCTCCATGGGCACGATCTTGCCCTCCTTGATGTACTCGGCGATCATGGCGCCGTACTGCGAGCCCTCGCGCTGCTGCTCGGCACGCAGCAGGTCTCCGGCACTCAGGTGCACAAATCCGTAGTCCTCGACGAGGCGAGCACACTGCGTGCCCTTGCCCGCGCCGGGGCCTCCGAGCACAAACACCACCGTCACCTTGGACGAGTCGAAGCGCGGCGTGTCCTTGGCAATCGCCTCCGCGATAGCAGGCGCGGGGGCAGCTTCCGGGGCGGCGGGAGCGGAGCCAGACGCACCAGCCGAGGCCGTGGCCTGGTCGTCCTTCTTGTGCTTGAGCTTGTCGAACAGGCCCATTCTGCCGAGCAGCGTGTTTGACCAGTTAATGTTGGGCGAAGTGTGCAGGAGCGATGCGACTCTCTAGGCTTCGACGTTGAAGCGCGGAGAGATATCGAAGATGGGCGGCGGGGGAGAAGAAGGAAGAAAAGTGTGAATCACTGAGGCTCCTGCGAACGAGGAGGGATGAGCGGATTGGGGTGTGGGATGCGCTTTTCGCGGAGGTGCTTCTGCGGATCGTCGTGACGGGAGCGCGAGACGTAAGCAAACGTGCCGAAAGCGGCGATGGCGATCAGCGCAAATCCGATGGGGCTCGGGTGGTTCTTCTTAGGACGGGCGCCCGAGGTGGAGTAGGCTCGGAGGGCGATGGGAGAGGCCAGACGATCAGTGCGGGACAGACGACGGAGGATCGACGAGGAGCTAGAAAGCATTCGCAGATGTTGCAGATTCGAAGGAAAAGGCAAGGAGGTCCGGTTGTGGGTGTGTTGGAGCGGGAAGAAATGCATCCATGCGCACAGCGATAGGAGAAAGGCACAGGCACAGGCACAGACCGAGCTGCACCAAAAGATGCGCATGACCGAGGCACCCTGCCATTCACCAGTCTCGTACGAGAAAATTGACCTGTTACCTCCACCTGATGCGGAACTTGCATCTCGGGGCGGTCCTCGTCTTTGTTGTCGTCACTCTTCCACCCCCGCGCCTTGTCACAGCCTCGACTGCGCAGTCACCAGTGCTCCGCGCAACGTCGGCCTCAAGGATGTCGTCTGCCGGGTCGTCGTCGGCGTACGCCTTCAAGCCGGGCGGCTCGCTCAAGCTCAAGGGCGACGACGGCAAGAAGGACAAGAAGAAGTAGGTAGCAACACACTCAAGTTGACAGTATGAGATTGACGTACTGACTCCACTGTAACGGCATTCTGGCTGTCGTCGCCTCTTGTGCACTTGTCGCGCACCTCGCAGGAAGAAAAAGGTCAAGTCGTCCCTGTCGCACGATGCCAAGCACGCTTCACAGTCCGCCTCTTCCTCCAAAAGCAAGGCTCACGATGACGGCAAACACAGCCGAGACGGAGACGAAGGATCGGACCTGCAAGATCCAACCGAAACTGGCCCCGCTCCCAGCAGCCGCCGAATGACCGAGGCGGAGCGCAGGTTTGAGGAAGTGCGGCGCCAACGCATGCAGCAGCGCATCGCCAAAGAGGCACGCACCTCGCACAAGGAAAAGGTGGAAGCGTTCAACAAGTATCTGGGATCGCTCTCGGAGCACCACGACATCCCCAAGGTCGGTCCAGGCTAGTGTGCTGTCTGTCGCCTTCAATCTCAAATCCCGATTTGTCCGTGCCACGTCTTCGTACTTGCGAGCCGCATTGGTGCCACAGCGTGTCGATCTCAGATGCTCGAAAGCTACCCCACTGTACAGCTACTCGAGCCTTAGATGGATGCCGGGGCGGTGTCCAATCGAAGGCAGCTGATTCGAGCTTGAGTCGTTGTATACTATGCTGTGATGCGAGTCGTCTTATCTTCAGGGTCCAGCCGGGCCACAGTAGTGCAGCTGCAGAGTGAGATTTTCCGTCGGCGACGATTTTGATTCCGTCTTTTTCGCTGATGCGGAGAAGGAGGCTTCTTAACATCGTCCACACCACCTCACCACATCGAGCAAGGGGCCATGTCGGACTCATTGCAGCTGGCGCGCAGCGTCATCGACGACTGTCACCGTAAAGATCCCGCCTACGCACAGCGCGCTGCGTCTTCGTCGTCTTCCGGCGCCGATGCGGCCGATGCCAAGAACAAGGTGGACGAGCTGGCCTATGCGGATAGCATGGAGTCGTTCGCATCGCATCTGATCGGTCTTCGACTCGAGACTCCCGAGTACCGCGCGTTCGCTGCCACGGTCTCGCCCTCGTCGCCATCCGATGCCGATGCGGTCGCTCGCACCGGCGATCTGCTTCGTGTCGCTGCACGCTGCCAGCACCTCGAGCGCTTCCTCACCCCGCGCGCCTCGTATCCGGACGGCAAAGCGGGCTATCTCAAGTGGCGGCGCGACCTGTACAAGATCCAGGCGGACCGCGCCAAGCAGCTCCTCACCCAGGCGGGCATCAGCGAGACCGAGGCCGACTGGGTGCACAAGTGGGTGAGCAAGACCGAGCTCAACCCAGGCAGGGAGTCGGGCGACATGGGAACGCAGATGCTCGAGGACGCTGCCGTGCTCGTCTTCTTGCAGAACGAACTCGAACTCTTTGCTGGTCAGCACCAGGAGTATACCGAGCAAAAATTCGTCGACATCATCAAGAAGACCTGGAGGAAGCTCTCGGCGCTCGGCAAGCAGGAGGCGCTCAAACTCAGCATGCCCAGCGGTCTCGAGCCCATCGTCCGCAAGGGCATCGAGGCTGTCGAAGGCCCTTCGACTCAGCAGGAACAAGGGTAAGATGCAAGATCCCCGCACATTTCTTTCCCGACGATACCCTCCTTCCAATAAGACACGCTTGTATGCTCTTGGATAGTCTTCCCACTCCATGTGCATGCAGAGCGTCGAGCCTTCGCTCTTGGCTGGAACTGGAAAGCGTGTGCGGCTGCTGCAGGACTCGACATGAGCTGACTCTTTGCAATATTTGTGGCGTCTGACCAGCATCCCTGCTGATGCATCCGCTGCAGCTGACAGTGCGAGTCGGAAGAAGCAGACGTCTTCGTCGGCAGCGATCACATCAGGCTCGACACTTGCACGTGCGCTTCGACCCAAGAACGCTGCTGAAGCCGAGGCATTGCTTGCGGAGCGTGCCGCGCGCACTGACGATGCCACGGACGAGCCGGACATGTTTGGCGCACGTCTGCTCAAGGCGGACGACGATATCTGGACGCACAATGCGTGGGACCACGTCACACCACCCGCATCGCACTATGAGCAGGTGGCAGCGACGCTGGCCAAGCAAGCAGAAACCAAGCTTTCGCTGGACGAAGCCGAGGTATTCCACCAAGCGCCCGCCGGGTATTGGGACACGTTCTACTCGGCGCACGAGAACCGCTTCTTCAAAGACCGCAAGTGGCTCCACCTCGAGTTTCCCGAACTCGTCGAAACGACCCTCGAATCAGCGGGTGACAAGACCGTACTAGAGGTCGGATGTGGTGCGGGCAACACTGTGTTTCCATTGCTGGAGATCAACAAAAATCCAAAACTCACCATCCACGCATGCGATTACAGCGCAGAGGCGGTGGGTGTTGTACGATCCAATCCGCTCTGCAGCTCGGCTCCTGCGGGTGCAAAGTGTCATGCATCCGTATGGGATCTCAGCTCTTCCACAGCCCTACCCACCGGTTTGGAGGAGGAGAGCGTGGATGTGGTGGTGTTGATCTTTGTCTTTTCCGCACTGCATCCTCGAGAATGGCGCCAGGCGATTAGCAATATCCGCAAACTTCTCAAGCCGGATGGTATCGTGCTGTTCCGTGACTATGGACGGTACGATCTGCCCCAGCTTCGCTTCAAGAAACGTCGCATGTTGCAGGACAACTTTTACCTGCGTGGCGACGGTACGCGCGTCTACTTTTTCGAACCCCAGGAACTCTTTGCAATCTTCAACGCCCGTCCCCAATCCACCACAACCACCACCACCCAGGACAATAAGGAAGTTCAGCAGGTCGATGAATCCACTGCCGGCAGCGCGCGAGCTGGGGAAAAGTACGATTTCGAAACGGTGCAGATGGCTATTGATCGCAGACTCATCGTCAACCGAAAGGAGCGCAAGCAGATGTATCGCAACTGGCTCCAAGCCAAGTTTCAGCTGCTTCACTCGTAAACACAAGCCGCCGCATACGGTTTTGCCAGAAATAAATGGGATTCAAACACCAAACGCCATGCGACGACGTGAGAAACGCGGGACGACAAGTAGCAACCGTGCGTGACGAGAAAGAAACTTCCAACCTTGCTTTTGGTGCGTAAGAGAGCTGAGAAGGCCTACGGGATGCGTCGTGGGTATCGTCGCCTAGCGTCGTGTGTGTGTGTGTGTGTGTGTGTG